GCCTGGTTCTTGGGATGCATTTTCTGGTGGTATGGTCTTCAAGGGATCAGGGGCAATTCTTTTCCCAAGGGAGTGGCAAAGCACGTGAATCACTTCTTGTGGGACCAAACCACTTTCTTGAGAATTCACCCTTGGTAACGAACCTCTGCTTGCTGACAGATGCAGGGGGGAGTCAGGAAAGATGACACACTGGAGTTTTACAGCTCTCATGCTTGTGATTCATCTGAAAGTGGGGAAATGTCAGAGTTCCTAGGGCAGATGCTGAGAAATCGGCATCTTCTCCTAAAGAAGCCACCCTGGAGTGCTCAGCCATGTGACAAAATCAACAGAAACTCCAAAGCTCACTTGGTAGTAGGAAGGGGAAGAGACAGCTGCCTGGGGCCTGGCAGGCAGCCAGCGGCTGCTGTGGGTGGAAAACATGTCACTTCGTACGCTAGACACACCGTGGACTGGGACTGATGGACAGAGAGTAAAGCAGGATGGGAAGGGGAGAGCAAAGCTGACAGCAGCACAGAGGGGTTTCTCCACACTCCATGAAGTGCTCTGGGGAGCACACTCACCCACGATGTGTTTGATGGTCCCTGGGTGGGTTAATCAGATATCAGGAAAGGCTGGGAGTTGCTGGGACTTGCAGGAGTTCAGAGAAGATGCCAAGAGAGATGAGAAACACTTGTGGGAAGACTGTCTGGGAGATGATGCAGTATGTGTAGGGGTGTGTGTCTGCTGCATGGCTCCCTCTATGAATGGGATGTGTGTGACTGTGGTTTCTATAGAGGCAGGTCTGAGCTGTGTGTGTCTGCGTGCATCCTCATGCACAGATTCCGCATGAGTGCACATATTTATCTGTGTGAATTTGACAGTGCCCACATGGGAGAAACCATCTGACAGCTCTGACAGGAAAGTTCAGGTTACAGTGTGGTGTAAGCAAAAGTGCACATACCATTTCTGCTGGGATTGGCTGCTTATCTTTCTTGTGATAGTCTGTAGATCGAGGTGGAACTGACACTGACTGTGTTTTGTCTTCATCTTTGAATTAAAACTGCAAATCTCTGATTTACATTGATATTATAAAGATTCCCCTCTTTTTGTTTCAAGAGTGAGTAAAGAGATAGTTCTTTACCAGATAGCGTTCACCTTCTTAAGACAGAAAAATCTCTGAATATGCCAATACAGTCTTTGAGACACCAAGGTTGGGGTGACATAGACATCTCCAGAGTCTGAGCTTTTGGGTCAGTCTGATTCCAAGGTGCCCAGATTCCTACAAACCAGCTTGGAAAACACTATGAAGGATTAACTTGTAAAATTGTTCTATGGGTCTTTCTTTCAACCCACAATGCGGAATAGGGTGCAGAGAGAGGATGAGTAAAGTATTGGCTCCTGTGCACAAGGCGAAAGTAAGGGGATGCTGTGCAGCCTGGTGTTGGTCTACGCTCTTTGTGGAGTAGGGTGAAGGTGGTCATGAAGTTAAACCTCCTGTCTGTCTTGGAAAGGGCTACTTCCAAGTGCAATTATTATGGGCTGGCAGAACCGCTTAAGACAGAGGTCTTTCAAGTTTATGTTACGTATGGAAATCGATTCCACCAGAGAAGAGAACTCCAGTTGCTGGGGCACACTACATTGGCTGGGCTGCTCTTGCTGGAGCCAACTATCATGTAGCTGACTCCATGTTCCTGGAGCTGTTCTTCAGCAGACCCTGACCAGCCAGCTCCCAGCTCTGAGCATTTGCAGCTCACCCCTCTTGCTCCCATGTCTCTCACTATCTCTTCCAGAGGCTTGTTGTAGCCCATAAGGGAGATGTCTCTCAGGAATGAGAAGAATGTGGATCTTGGACCCAGTCCTGGCTGGCAGTTGCTTTCACAACTCCCCACCTTAAGTAGACTGCCCTGTAAGGGCAAAAGGGCAGCAGAGGCCTTCACCCTGGATTTCCTCAAATCCAGATGTGTCTGCCACATTGCAAGAGCTAAGCCTTAGGCATTAGTCACTGCTCACCTGCCCTCAGCCATGCCAGTGCTCAGTCATTCATTGTGCTTCTCTGCATAGCCTAGGACCTGTCCGTAGGAGCTCACCATGGGTGTTTCCCCATACCTATGGTACAAGTTGATTCTTATGGGGCAAAGGGATTAAATCTTAGCTAAGAGCTTGGTGAACTGGTCACTCTTTCGGAGAAGGTGGATTCAAAAGCAGAGTTGCCTTAACTTGTCCCTCCCTACCATGTCAGGTTATGGACTATGTTTGATCTTACTCAGAGAGAAGCTTCCATGTAATCTGTTTGCCCTCTGCAAACAGTTCAGAGCAAGGAGGATGCATAGAGCTGTAAATTTGGCCAGGACTTCCTTTGTTCATTGGCCAGCTGTTCAAATTCAGGAGGTTCTTTCTAAAACACTTCCAAAAGGAGGTTGAAAAAACCCTGCTCCAGATTGCAGTCCTCAGATGCACTTCTTTGCTGTCCTGCCTGGAGTGTAATAGCAGGAAGAGGTGTAAGAGTGTAGGCACTCTATCATTCCCTCTGGACAATTTATATGGGGAACTGCTGCTGGACTCTATGCTATGGGATGACTGAATGTGGATGGTGCTGGCAAGGTTTAAGCTTGTGCTTAGGCACATTCATTTAGGGCTGCACTGTAGCTATCAGCTATTAGTCCAGCAAGACCATGGAAAAGAGGTTTCCTGTGAATGCAGCTTTGCCTCAGCAGAAGAGACTCATGGTATGCTGAGCATCAGTCTTTAGTGGGGGAGATAGGAAACCCACTTCCTCACTCTCCCTTTTGGAGATGTAAAAAGCACTTCTGTTGCCCTTACTTCTCCTTACCTCAAAGGAATGGTGCAGAAATCGTATCTTTTAGTCCTTTTTCATTACTTTCTTTGCATGTGAACAAGAGGACAGCAAAAAAAGAAAAGAAAAAAAAAAAAAAAAAAAGGGAGTGCCACACCCTGCAGGCTGCTCTGTTTTGTACTGTGTGATGGTGCTGTCACATCAAAAAATAGGGGCAGAGGAGTGACCAATCCAGTAGTGGTATTTCTTGCTCTCCAACAAGCATGGGCTGAATGCCATGTGCCAGCTTTTCAGCTGGGAGCTGACTAACGGAGAGATGGATTCATGCTCACAGCAAACCCCTGCTCCGTCACATTAAGCAAGGCCTGAGGTGTGCCTTTCACCAAAACATGCTGGCTTCTATCAGCACATCTTCCAGAGCTGTTTCAAAACACAACCTCCGTTCCACCTCAGGGCACCACACAGCAACTCCTGCACGCACTTGCATTGCACACACAAGGCAAAACTCAAAGACCACCGGCTAGGCCAGCAGGGCCGGTTTGCCAAGCCTCTGTCCCCAGCAGAGCTATAGGCAGCACTAGCTGTGGGATCTCAAATCCCATGCCTGTTAGGGTGACCTTGGGTGTGGCTCAGCTCCACCTCACTCAGAGTTCTCCTTGAGATGGCACATGCCCTGCAGGGATGCCCAGCTGCTGCATGAGGGGAGCTTGGACTGCATGCCAAGTGTCAGCCATAGCCAGGAGAGCCGACCGCAGGGCCTGCCACGAGGAACTGCCTCTAACCAAGGAGCTGCTAGCAAGACTGAGGTGCTGCCATTCGGATGCAGTTCCTTGAGCCTATCCTCAGTCTTCATGTAGTCCCTAAGTTTGACAGTGGTGTGAGACCTGTTAGGACGGGGATTTTGGCTGGCTCAGACCTCTGTCATCATAGATAGATAGATAGCAAGCTCTGTGCTTTTACACTCTTCATACCATGTTCCCTCCTCTGTGTTTGCTCAGGAGAAAAGACTCACAATATGTGAGTGGACTCTATCCAGCAATGTCAAGTGGCCAGTGCCTGGGCAAGGCTGCTCTCAGAGGTGCCTTGAGGAATTCAAAGCCTTTAGGCAAAAGTTGCTCAGGAAACACTGCCTCAGTCAGCTCCCTGGCCTCTGAAATACAGCTATTTCTCTAGCAGGAGGCATCCGGGACAAAGAGGACATCAACAAATAATAAAATCCACCCTGCTGCCACGCTGCTGTCAGTCTACCTTCGCTGCCATTCCTATAGTGACTGCCCACAGCACCAACCCCAGTTCCAGTGATTTGCAGCTGGATTGGGCTAAGCACTGCTTCAGTCTCTTTCTGTCCTACGAAACTGCAGAGGCGGGTGGGGTTCCTGCTATTGGAACTGAAGCCTGGTGCCAGCAAACTGGCTGTGCTGAGCTCCCTTTCTCAGACCTCAAAAAATAGTTTAGGCATTTGACCGCAGGACACACAGCAGACAGATGAAGTGAGAGAAGTGGTGAAGGAGGGGAGGGAGAGTGGGGGAGGTTGTGTGGAGAAAGGCAGGTGAGCAGGGAAAACTGCCAGCCTGCAATCCTACACTTCCCCTCAGCGCTCCATGCTCCTGTGCTGCCCAGGAAGGCACAGCATGCATTCATTCCTATTCACCACATGGCTTTGGCTAAGCAGGGGCTTGGCTACAGGATCTCTACAAGGTTTCCCATAGCAAAAAGAGAGCTTCCAATTGCACCCCAAACTTCCCATGCTCCACTTGGAAAAATGACTGCTGTTCTAAACTAGAGCTTGGCAAACTACTGACAGAGAGGACAGAGAATAGAGTCATGCAGAAAAATGTCAGTGAGAGTCAGAAGTGTTGAACATGCAGTCCTAATTTCAAGCAGGGTTTTCTCATAAACTGAGCCAGTGCTGCTCCAAAAGAGTGCAGCAATTCCATGCCACATCTAGACCAGGTGGGGCTTCCCGTGATGATTCCCTGCTGCACATGCCCTGAAGATGAGAATTACATTGCCAGAGCCAGCATTCTACCCAATGCCTTTCTTTGCCCCGTTACACAGCTGCATTTCAACGCAAATGCTGAAAGGTTAAGGTGCGTCCCGTGCTGAGCTTGTTCACCAAGTTGAAGTGGCAGAATGAAAGACAAAAGCAGGCTGGAGTTGCAAGGAAAAGGAATCGGGCTCCAGTGAGCAAGAGAAGTTGGTAAAGCTGTTGGAGAGAAACTCTTACCGTGCGGTGCTGGCACCTGTGGAAGCAGGAGCGTGGGGGACTGCGGCGCTGCTGTGCCGGAGTGCGGAGCTGTAGTGAAGGGGAGTGACCTGGTGGTGGTTTAAGTTTCCTCCGGTGGTATGGGAGGGTGGTGTCACTTAGCTCTGTTTTAAAGAAGTTACTATGAATCAGTCTGCCTTTAAAGAGAGGGAGGAAAAAAAAAAAAAAAAAAAAAAAAAAAAAGTTAGTAAGCTACGCCCTGCTTTGTTGGCAAGGTGTCAAGAGTCTCTGGGAGGAAACCAGCGATTCAAAGAAATGTTTGTAGGGTTGTGTCTGACTCAGAGCACAGTACAGAGACCGCAGCCTGGAAAAAAAGACTGACGCTGATCCAGCTGAGTAATAGAGGCCCACAACAGCATCTGTTTATAAAACTGAACTTCTGGTTGTCATAAAAAAATATTGTGTAGTTACAAATGTGGCAACGTGACTACAACAATACAATTCACTCAAAGAAGCAAATAGCCGGTTGGCATGGGACACAGTGAGGCTGGTGAGTCACCGCATCCCTCACTCCAGTGCTGCACGAGGGGACGTTGCCACGGTCAGCCATGTGAGGGAATACAAATCTGACCTGTGGGATGGACATGGACAAGACTTTTGGAAATATAACAAAATGCAGCTCTGGCCTGGTGGTGACTCTGGAGCAAGATGACCAGATGGTGGTGGTTTGCTTCCACAGGGAGAGCACGGGCAGGAAAGATGAAAAAGGGGGTTTGTGATTCACAGTTTTCTGAGGTCAACATTTCTCGTCAACTTAAAGACCTTTAAAAATAGATTCTTTACAACTGCATGGAATTGACTGGTATAGCTCTCATGGGTGGCAAGAGGAGAGGGGATGTGCTTGAGATGCTTGCTGGAGAGGGAGGAGGATGTTTGTCAGAAAATATCTGGGTTAAACTGAGATCCATATTGTGATAAAGTTGGTGATCTGCTTCCATAAGGAATCAAATCTTTTTTTTTTTTTTTTTTTTTTTTTGTAAACGCCAGAAAAGGGAAGAGTGGATAAAATACCTGCCAAAGGTCTTTCCCTCTTCAGTGAGAGAGTGCTTCGTTAAGTGAAATGAATCATTAAGGCTGGAAAGACTTCTAACATTGCTTAGTCTACCTACCACCACTCATTCCCACCATGACAACTAATCATGTCCCTAGGTACCACATCCACGTTTTTATGGAACACCTCTAGGGATGGTATTCCCCCACCTTCCTGAGCAACCTATTCCAATGAACCACTGCTCTTCCAGTGTTTTTGGTTTTTTTTTTTTTTTGTTTTTGTTTTTTTGTGTGTGTGTGTGTGTGTGTTTTGTTTTGTTTTTTGTTTTTTGTTGTTTTTTATGTCCAACCTGAACCTTCCTTGGTGCAAGTTAAGGCCATTCCCCCTCATCCTATCACTGTTATCCGGGAGAAGAGGCCAACCCCCACCTCGCCACAACCTCCTTTCAGGTCTTTACAGGGAGCAATAATGTCTCCCCTGAGCCTCCTCCAGATTGAACAATCCCAGTTCCCTCAGCCACACCCCATCAGATTTATGCTCCAGACTCCTCACAGCTTCGTTGTCCTTCTCTGAATACTCTCCAGGGCCTCCATGTATTTTGTGTATTGAGGAACCCAGAACTGAACACAATACTTGAGAAAGCTAGTGCTCTTTGATGTCTACACAGATTAAAAAAACCTTGCTGTTTTTCAGATTATTCCTTTTCTATAAAGTTATTGATATGTGTTTTGTCCCTGTCTAATTTTAGACTATAGCAACCAACTTAAAAACAGAGCTGTGGATGAGACAGCAGCAAATACGATGTATATTGTAGGCAAAGACTCCATGCCCACACAGTCCCATGGGAAAATAAAGACAGAATTTTGTTCTGCAAGGGTAAAATAATCCTAATTGTACTTAATACGTATGGGTTAGAACATGCTTTTTGGTTATATACATGAATATGATACAAGGGAAAGAAAAATATAATTGCTTAACCTGGAGAAGGCTCTGGTATTCGCATTGAGCTACGCTGTCCACTTGCCCTTCCCTATCCCCCAGCAGAGTTTATTGGACTGAAAGATGCTCAGCTCTGCACAAATGCTGACCAGAGTTCAGTGACGATGGATCATCCTTTTGGCCCCAGGCCTGCTCACAAGTGGCTGCCACCTGTTATATGGCAGCTGGCTGCAGCAGAAGGGCTCATCTGAGACCCTGAGACACTAACACCTGCATCTAAAACACATGCATATGGGGCAACAACAGTGGAGTCTGCTAAGAGGCAAAGTGTGAAGTGACTGAAGACTGGCAAAGCCTATTTTTCCAGAGAGAGCAAACTCGTCATGTACAAGCTGCTCTAGCTCTGTCAGGCAATGAATGGTCAACCTCAAGCACTTTGCAGGGAAGCAGGAAGGTTCTGCGGCGTCAGCAGCAGCTTGCCCACAAAAGTGTTTCCTCCCTGCCCTCCATCTGGGAAAGTTGATGCCTGGCCAGCAGAATAAAGAGAAGTAACCAGACAGGCCACATATACTGTGATTGTTGCCCCAGAGGAGCATTGCTATCCTGGCAGCAATTGGCTTCATTACTGTTGCTATAGCTGGGTGTGGGAGGGGGTAAGAGCAATTGTCAAGCAAACAAAGGTGCAAACAGCTGCTCCTTTTTGGAAGCAATGCTGCATGTGGGCAAGATGACTGACTGTTTAAGTAAGTAAGAGGAGTCCCCCTAATGTCAGGGTATGATGAGGAGCAGCTCAAGTTTCACTGAGTGTATTGGTAGCTCTTTGGATATTTCTACCCACCTTGAATCTTCTTGTCCTTCTGGACAGGGATACAGGGCAGAAGTGAGAAATCTTTCTACCAGTAAGTAGAGGTAGAAGAATGTTTCCAGTTGATGAAATCTGTCATGTTTTCTGTAGCTGTTTGTCTGAGGGTGAAGCATGAGCCCAATAAGCCTTCTTGTATGTGTGAGGGAGAACCAGCCCTACCCACCCAGCTCGAGTAGAGGCTGGTCTTTCTGTATACTAGCAACTTATCTTGTTAGGGTGTGTGGTTTTCACAAGGCAGGTTGCAATGTAAACCATGACATGAAAAGTGTCATTACAGGATCTAAAGTGTAAAGCATGCTTCCAGTTTGACATGCTGAAGTTGGATTGCCTGAGATGCACACACCATAATTCATGGTGTCCCTTGACCTAAGCATCATTCATTTCACAGGCTTTTCAGGGTGCCTACAGCCAACTAATAGCTGTTTGGGTCACAGCCATGAGAACTAAAGCTGGGGGAATCAAGGCTGGCATTTCCACAGGCAATGAGGGTGAAGATTTCCCATGCATGCCAAGCCTTTACTGAAGCTCTTCCCAAACACTGCTTTATATCTACTTGGTTTGCCATGTCTTATACTTCTGCAAACATCACTACTGTGCACGACCAGTAGTTCTTGGTAACAAGAAGAGCATCTGCAGTGACATTAGATAAGAAAGACAAACATTAAGATTTGACAAGCCCAGATCAAAGGAAGAATGGGTGATAGGAACTGGGAGATGAAGTGTGGAATTAAGGGTGGGGAAGGGATAGTAGGGCTCAGCTGAAAGCATCCAAAACATATTTCTAGAGGGGGGTACCGTTCTTGCAGTTTCTTTAGATGCCAGAATCAAGGCCTGGTCAAGGTTTCTGAGTTCCCATGCTCTCTGGGATGTTTTCTGGCACAAAGTCAAAATGACATACATGTACTATTTGAGTGAGCTTTTCTGGATAACAATCTCCACATTGTGTATTATGTCATATGGATCTAAACATCATGTCTTTCAATCTGAAAACACTTAACCCCTTTCCTCTCTCTTGTATGTCTTATTTATTCTGTGCAACATCCCACTGGCTTATTTTAGAAATGGTAGAAGTTATGTGCTCCATGCTGTTTGCTACTTCTCCACTTACTGTATACATGGAGCAGGTAAGGCTGAGCCTGAGTTGATATGTGGGTTAAAAAGATAGAAACCAGCAAGTTTCATACTGCTTTATAGTGGTGTAACTGTGTTTGTGTGTGTGTCCTGGGGCTATCCATGTGATACAGTAATTTGCAGAGACATATGGTACATCTCAGAGCCATATGATAAACTGCATTTGTCACGCGTGACCCTGCAGGGCTTCAAATGGGAACATTCATCCACTGGAGAGAGGGCGAGGTTCCCTGATTTATAGCTTTGCTTAGTTTTGAGGAAGCAGATATTGGAAATCACACCTTCGTGGGTTTGGTCATTTCCCTAATAACTGTTGTCATGTTCCTTTCCCCCTAAAAATTGCTAGACTACCAGCACTTAGGGAAGCCGACTTCACAAGCTCAGTGGTACAATAAAGGAATGGATTGCGGTCAGCAGTAAATAGACATAACCTGTACTTGGCCTATTTTATGGGTTTTTTTTTTGTTTTTGTTTGGTTTGGGTTTGGGTTTGTTTGTTTGTTTTTAGTTTTTTGTTGTTGTTTTTGTTTTTTGTTTTTGTTTTTTGTTTCATTTTGCTGGCAGGGCTGATCTTTGGCTCAATTACTTTGGTGAACTGCATGAAGAACAAAAGCTAGGGAAGTATCTACATCTGATTTTTCTGAAATCACTTAGAACTGCCAGCCTGACTGACCTTTTGAAATTGGCTGATAGGCACATAGTCCAAAATGCCCTGGGTTTGTAGTGTTTGAGGAGTTCGGTGCACAGCTTTGATGAATAGGACTTGCTGTAGTTCCCTCCAGGACTTGTGCCTTACAAATAAGTTCAGTGTCAGAATGCATTGCCTGTATCCTACCTACTGCATCTGGGAAGCCCCAGTGCCTGCTTGTTTCTCAGCAGTAATAAATAATAAATAAGGTCATGAGATAACAGCATTCCTTCCATACTTTTCACGGCAATTAGAACTCAGTTTTGTCCCAGCATGTGAAAAGGGCCAGATGCTTCATTCTCGTGATTGAAGGGAGATGAGGATGGATTATGATCCTTCTCTATGATGAACCCACTGACATCTCCACCTTAGTCTTAGAGTATTGGCATACACACTGTGGTCTCTGCAACAGGTCTATAGATTTTGCCAGACTGAGCAAACAATAATTAACTGGGAACTTGCTGAGGGGGTTGTACTAGCTCTCAGCCTGGTCAGGTAGCCCAGAAAT